CCGTCCCAAAACGTTGGCCAGTCCTCAACGTCTGTGAGCCTTTATTTCTCAGCGGACAAAAGGCGGAAAAGACGCCATCGCGAAACGGAGTTCGCCTCGCCGTGTAACGGCCCTCATTCATGAAACGCCACGCCACGGCCGCACAATTATGGTGCCCATTCGCTTACCTTCCCACGGCCACCGCGGTCATGGCAGCAGCGAGCACTGAAGTGCACGATTCGATCGGATTCGCAGGCCAATCGTGAGGGTTGAAAAACTGGGGCACAGCAGCGAAATGAGGTTCGTCATCAAGGTAGCTGACAACGTCGATCCGGCTCCGGTCGTTCAGTCGGTTTTCACCGGCGATAATAGTCAAACAGGATTAGGCGTCGTAATTAGAATGACCGAGAAGCGCTGACCGGACCGTGACCGAGCGAGTGGACGCTGGACGAGTGTCCTCGGCCGGTAATCGCGTCGTCCTACAGGCTAGCGATGAATCGTTGTCGGCATGAGTCAGCAGCACACGCTATCGGCCGGTGGGTAGACAGTAAGCGAAAGCATATTTATCAAATGAAGCTGCACAGCCGGTTAGGCATGTCGTTATCTATCATGGATTAATCGACAGATAAAATTGAGTCGACATTAAATCTGGTCTTTGCATCCTTCGTACGTTAATCGAAAGTTATGGCTAGAGCAAAAAGCTCAAATGACCGGAAACAGACCACTCACGAGAGGAACCTTGGATACAATTACAGATTCAGGTCAGAGTTTCGACGGAGGCTGTCTCGCTGACTCACCCCTGACCAAAGCAGCCTCAAAGTCCATACAATAATCAGTCAGAATCGCTATCCTCAGAGGTACTACATGCTAAAACCAATGAGGTAAAGAAGGCTATTTTTTATTTTCATCTGCTTCAACAAGTCATCCGCATGACCGCAGTAAGCCACGAGGGCACCACATCTAGGCGTAAAACGACCAAATGGGATTTTTCCGAACCGACGAACTCCACATTATCTCTTCGCTCTCTGGAACTTGAATTTCTCTATTACAAGAGTTCTTGTATGTTGGCTTAATTTGCTGTAGACCCAGTGCAGGTTCTATGGGTCTAAGAACAAAGAAAATAGCAGCATAGAAAAAAGAAACAGCCCCCTAGGTAACTGCAGAAATTGGGCTTTTAAGAGGCTATAATTGGGCTTCTTTTAAATTGCTACTGAGTTCTAGCATGAATATGAGTGATATTTCCTCCTGCCCTTATGTATATTTCGGAAATTGTGTTATTCTATAGTTACGAACACGATGAAGACTACAATTACCGTTGAAAATATACGCCCACCGCGTATGCGGCAATTTTCTAGGCTGTCAAGTGCCATTCGGTGTTTCATGATTCTTTCGTCTTTAATCGTCCACATTTTGTTATTTTTGTTGAAAATTGAAAATGTAATCCTCCATTTATTTCATTCATATCTCGTTCGGAGAATATATTCTATATTACATGATATTTGGCAATATCCTCAGTATAATCCATTTTCTTATGCTGATCCAAGTCTGCCCTGGTCAGAAACAACGTGTGATAAATTTCTTGCTCAGGAGCATTCGTGATTAAAAAACTGATTGCCCTGCCGGCACCGGTTCGAAAGTGGCCTTTAAAAGACACCATGCCATTGCTTTCAACTTCAGTTTTCCTTTCGCTGCTTCGATTGTTTATGTGTTTATGTTTACTTAATTCAAGTAAAAACAACTTCATACAAGGCAACAGATGTTTCGTCAAAATAACATTACGTGGGTCTTCTGCCATTTTGCACTGTACACGTCAAAAGAAAAATCATAAGGATGAAAGTCATAAGTGAAATGAAAGTCAGGCTTGTAGCAATTTTTCTCAAGAAGGAGAAACAACATATCACTGAAAAAATAAATAAATGCGCAAAGCCATGAGTCGCATAAATGTTGCTATTCAGCGGCAACTATTCGACACTATCCGCCGATCGACTGACGTCTTCTGGCGAAACAAGTCAACATCTAAGCACGTTTTTTTTTCAAATGAAAAACGGCACATCCTTCATCATGTAAAAACCTTGAAAGAGCCATAAAAATACTGCTGCTCAATAGCAAACCTAGTTGCATCGACTTCTCTTACATCAGACACGTTACAACGCTGGAACAATTCCTCAGTAGTTTAATGCTTTTAGCATTCAACAGTCAATCAATCAAATTCGGGCAACTGTAGTTTCCATCAGCATAAAATGGACTCATCACGAATTATCAACAGAAACAGGCAGAGGAACCAGAGGCAAGGTTTTCACGTTGGAACACTCAAAACACTGCAGGTAGCAGTGGCCATGTCTTGTCACCCATGGAGCAGGGGTAGTTACACAGGTAGACACTAAGTCGATGGAGGGAAGCACATTCAGCGTTCATTCTGACCATCGTTTATTAATGTAAGCACGAAACTTCAACGCCACTGATCTAATTTAGATTATGTCGTCAGCAGAGACACAAATACAACATATGAAGAAACAAACAGTACGTAGATTCGTTCTTGATACGCAACGAAATTATCACTGGCATTATTACCATGACGTTGTTGTAAAAGATGTCTGATCCCATTACGTCATTTGTGAGGGAAAACGGTTCCTCTTTCACAGGCAGCTCAGGTCCACCATCGAATAAAGGCATTAGCTATACTTTTTACTTGATAATGATTGAAAACCGTACAGGATTTTGAAACTGATGTTTTTCTTTACTTTAAGTTACTTCAGAACTGGTCCAAAAACAAATCAGTCACAACTGCGGCGTGTCGTTCGATACGACGCGATTCGTTAACAAGAGAGAGGAGAAGGCACAGAAGAGCTACCGGGATGTTCTGATGGTACGCTGGTGAAACAGCACTCTGACCGATGCCATGGTGAAGCCCCATGCCGCCAACATTATGGAAGACGAGGAAGGCATTTGCTTGGACTGCGTAGACCCTGGACATTGAATGTGTTATGTGTAAGTTAGGAGTAATGATAACAAGGTAATTATGCGGATGTACCACATTCGGTCTCTGTGATGATCGTCCACTACCAATACTTCGACCTCTATCTCACGAATCATCTGCAGCCTTAAGCCTCAAAAAGAATCAGCTCGTACAGACGACATCAAGACCCACCGAACACCATTAGCTTTACCTTGTAGAAAGCCTCAAATAAGGGTTAACGGCAAGCCTTATATGTTCTTCTTACTTTACTCTGACACACGATCGTGCACTTTAGTCAATCCGCGTTGTTCATAATTTAAATCCCAAATTTATATCTTCCAATAAGATGTTAGGAGTGGTCATGTTTTCCTGACCAAGCCTGCTTGAAACCGAAACGAATCGAAACTACAAACCCAACCTGAAGAATTAGTGGTCTCAAACGATCATAATAATCACAAAGAGAATATGCGAAAACGTATTTCTTCAAGTCTAATATATGAATATATGACTTTTGCGGGAGATTGTCGTTGGAACTGAGAACGAAGAAAAGTCGATCAAAATTCAAACACGGTAAACAGCCTTTCATGCCGAGGCTGGATGAGGTGGGCATGGTCACATCTAATCAATAGGCAGATACAGCCTCTGTCCGCTAACGCAAACTTAAATGACTTCGTCTGAAAGCCTCATGTGGTGCTTAAACTGCGTTTAGCCTATTTAGCCTTGGGTGTGAAATGAAGTCGACGACCCGTCCTCCTTCAGCACCTGATACACGGTTTCCTATTTAAAGCAAAAGGTTCTTTAGATCACATCAACAGATGATTTCA